AGTTTTATGATGAAAAGATTTGAAAATGCACTCGGTACAGGTCCGAGGTTTTAGGTGATAGGGGTTGCGGGATGAAAATGTGAAAGTGAGATGGGTGGAAGGAGTCGCGTCTTCGTATTGAAAGACGAATATCGAAAACACCCTCACTACAGTGGGCATCCCAACATTCGGAGAGGAAGAGGTCTACACCCAATCCTTTCTTTTTTAATTCAATACAAAGAGAAATTAATTTATTATTGAAAGTATACTCAGTCCGAGACCGAGGTTTTACGAGGAAATGTTGGAAGCGTCTTTGTATTGAAAGACGAGTGTCGGAACCACCCTCACTACAGTGGGCATCCCAACACTCGGAGAGGAAGAAAGTCTACACTTAATCCCCTCTTTTAATTCGATACAAAGAGAAATCAAATTATTATGGTTTGAAAAAGGACTCGGTACGAGACCGAGGTTTTTTAGGAAGGAAGGTTTGAACAGTCACTCGGTGCGGTACCGAGGTCTTAGGAGGAAAAGGGGTAGAAAAATCTTCGTATTGAAAGACGAGTGTCTAAACCACCCACACTACAGTGAGCATCTCGACACTCGGAGAGGAAGAAAGTCTACACTTAATCCCCTCGTTTAATTCAATACAAAGAATATGATTTAAAAGATAGTTTAAAAGGGACTTGATACAAAGCCGAGGTTTTTTTAGGATAGGAGGGACTGAAAACGTCTTCGTATTGAAAGACGAGTGTCGAAACCACCCTCACTACAGTGGGCATCCCAACACTCGAAGAAGAAGGGGTCTACACCCAATCTTCTCTCTTTAATCCAATACCAAGAATTTGTTTGAAAATGTTTTCGGAGATACACTCGATACGGGGCCGAAGTTTTAGGAGGAAAAAGCGTTGAAAGGGAAATGGTCTCAGATCCAACGTTTACAAGGAAATAAAATTTTTTTAAAACCACAATATACTTTACAAAGTTCTAACAAAATAAAAAGAGAAAAGACATTCTAAATATATATAAGAAAACTCTTAAAATAAATAAGATAAGGTTCTTAAAACTTTAAAGAAAAAAATAAATAGAAAATTAGATATGTAAAGTAATCTAAAAATTATATAAGAAAACCTAAAGTAATATGTATATAGTATTTACAAAATAAATATTAAAATATTTACAAATAGATATTAGAATATTTACAATATATTAGAAAAAGAAATTTATATATCTATAACTTAAATTTACCAAAATAAAATTATAAAACTCTAAACATTTCATTTGAGATTCAATAAAATAATAAAAACAGAAAACAAAAGACATTAGATTGTGATGACCAAACAGAAAGATACAAACACGTACGCACTGGGGATATACATACACAACCGTGGCACTTGTAAGCAAACACTCAGATTCGAATACCGCAACATCAAAACAAAAACGTGAGCATGAAAACGCAATGAACAAAAGTCGAACTACCTCAAATTCGAAACTCCTTCTGCTCGGTTTCGACTTCTCACTCTTCTCCTTCACTTCCGTTTCTGTTCTTCTTTTGGCGGTGCGGCGGTGGATGGTTGATTATCGGAACGATGGCAGCTTGATTTCTGATGGTCTACAATCTCGCTCACCACGTGTTCGATGAAAGTACTGCTGTGGTTTGGATGCTGGTTGCAAAGTTTACAGTGAGTTTATGAGGAAGATGGATTGTTGAGTTGGGTTTGAAGTTGAGGTGGTAGTATGAGCTGTTCGAAAACGGTGTTCAAAGGTGAGGGAAATGAAACGAAGGTTAAGGTTGCTGCAAGAATGGGTGGATGATGAGGATGAAATTGGTGAAGAGTTTGGGGTGGCTGCTGCAATGGTTAGGGTTTCTCTCCTTTTTCTCTACCAGCCTCTTTTCTGAATGAATAGTAACAAAGTATATATGATGTGAGATTAGGGTTTTCCTATGTTTGAAAATGCATTCTCTGCTATCACTTTCTGATGTCAAGACCATGTCCTTCCATTTTAGTGAATCTGGCTCTGCTGTCCTATTTTCTTGTCTCTGAATTTCGTCTGTTTGTGCTGACTGTATCTTCTGTTATTTACTCATGATTTTCACTGTGGTAACACAACAATTTTACTGATACAAACTTGTTGATGTGGTATTTCTTCATTCTTAACTGAAAACAAACTCTTGGTCTGCTGAGAATGCTCTTCCTCTTTGCATAGATTTGTGCAGTTTGTGTATGAAACTGGTCTCCCATCCCAAAAGTTGTAACCTTGTTTTTCAACTTGATCCAACTGCAGGCAGGTTTCTTCTTTAAGCTGTGTGATTCCATTTTCTTTCTCACATTCTCTACATCTCCCCATCTTTGGGTAGACGCACAGACATTTGAATATAGAACATAGGCCGAATCATCAGATGAGTCCAGCTCCAAAAGATGATCAGCGGCTTTCCTCCCCAGCTCCAAATTTCTGTGTATTTTGCAAGCAGCCAACAGGCTGCGCCAAACGAGGTCATTTGGTGGGACTGGCATCTTATCAATGAAAGCTTCAGCCTCAGCAAGCCTTCCCGATCTCCCAAGAAGATCAATTATGCACACACAATGCTCTATTCCAGTAGGGACACCAAATTCAGTAGTCATTGAAGAGAAGTACGAAAGACCCTCATCCACCAAACCCCCATGGCTGCAGGCAGACAGAAGCGAAACAAACATGATGTGATCAGGTTTCAGACCAATATCAAGCATCTCTTGAAAGGCCTTTGTAGCCTGGCGGAAAAACCCATGTCTGGCCAATGCGGATATTAAAATGTTCCAAGACCTCTGTGACCTACTTTTTGGTATGGGAAGGATTCTAAATACATCATCGATTTCTCCACATTTTCCATACATATCCATTGTAGCATTTAAAACGTATTCATTTGACTCGAACCCAAGTTTAATAATCCAGCTGTGAAGCTGCTGACCCTCATCTTTGGCATTTTTTGAGTGTGGAGATGTCAATGCAAGTGATGACACAGACTGTGCCTTCATTGAGGTGAATCCCCAGTATCCATTTCGTAGTTGTTGGATATGAGACAAGAATCCTCTAATTTTTATAAATTGTTTGGATCTGATACTATTCCTCTCTGCAATTGTTTCGATCATGTACCAAGCATCATTGTCAGGAAGTCCTAGCCCAGCCATGTGTGAAGCCAACACGACAAGCTGTGCAGTCACCAGAGATGCGTAGTTGGCTGACTTGTTTGAAGATTGCTCCATTAAATAGTCAAAATATCCTTCCCAAAACCGTAGATCCTCCCAAATAGATAGAGAAATGGTGACGTTGGACATAGCCTGACACATTATTATTGTCTTTCTTATACATGTCGGAAGAAACTTCAAGAGCATCTCTAATGGTCAACAAGTCATTCCGTGATGTTGCACGATTAATAGCTGTTTTGAGCAACTCTTTCACTGCAATAAACTGTTCTTCGGTGAGCTGACAGTGCCAACCCGAATGCATATGTTCCCTTATACATTCAACAAATCCACTATCACCAATTCCTTCCGCATCATATCTGTTCTCCTGGCTCGGTCACTTTAAATTTCTCTAAGACTCGGCATTCTCATTGCTGCTATCTTGATGTCACATAAAGCTTTTGTTGGATGGTCCTCTTTTGGTTGTTTGAGGAATCAAAGAAATGTCTTCAGGTGGTGAACAAAGACAGGCGTAAGCAATAACCGCCAATGAAAGTTGACGGATAGAACCATCATCTGTAATGATGTATCTGAGGATGCCAGCACAACAACCTCGTCCCAAGTATTTGAAACCAGCACGAAGTTTTTAACTGTCATGATACATTGTTCAGGTTCTGCGTGTCTGATGATGAAAGTTCCAACAACATTCAATAGCTGGAGTCAGTTCAGGTATGAGGATCTCTATGTTGCTTGTTTGATAAAACCGGCTTTCCATACTGTTGACATTTTGCTCGTGTTGGTATCCATACCTGTGGTTAAATCTGATGCTATTCCGGTTTTGATTCAACATTGCAGGATATGCTTTGCCTCTTATTGATGTCCTGGAATCGTATGAATCATTGACAATACTCTCATGTATCTTCTGCCACAAATGAGCTCTGAACATCTGAATAAGAGATATCTTCAAAGTTGGAATTTTCCCGTGCATGAAAATGCTGATCAGATCTAGATGCACTTGGAGACCAACATAAACACTGGCTTGGTTAATGGTGTTTTTTCTCTAACTCTCTTGCAGGAAATTTATTGAATTAACAACTCCTTTCGGCTTATCCCAAAAGGTGACGGCTCCTGGATACGGTTTGGCAGAAAATTGTGTATTTTGCAAGCTGTGCATTTGGAGAAAGTAAGCTTATTATTGTTGATTGGCAGGGAAGAACTTGTTGTGGGTATGTTCGTTCAGCGGATAAAGATATCGACATTAGAATTGTTGATCCAGACAGTTGCGAAGTGTTTCGTGAAGACGGGACGGAGGGAGAAATCTGGATTAGTAGTCCAAGTGCAGGAGTAGGATATTGGGGAAGGGAAGAATTGAGTCAGAAAACTTTCAAGAATGAACTTACAAATCATCCCAGACGTAACTACACTAGAACCAGATACTTGGGACGAAATAATAGATCCGAAGTTATCACTGGAAGAATCAAGGATCTTATCATTGCGGGAAGAAACATCTATCCCTCAGATGTTGAAAGGACAATCGAAAGTTCGTCTGAATTTCTTCGTCCAGGATGCTGTGCTGTAATTGGTGTCCCTGAAGAAACTTTATCGGCAAAAGGGATTTCCTTGCCGGATGGTTCTGATCAGGTTGGCTTGGTTGTGATTGCAGAACTAAGGGAGGGTAAACCTGTTAGCAAAGATGTGGTTGAAGATATTCAAACACGAGTGGCCGAAGAACATGGAGTGAATGTTGCTTCTGTTAAGTTGATCAAGCCTGTTCTAACAAATAAAACACGGGTAAGGTCATTCACTACAGGAACATGTCAAGCAGGAAGAACACCCTGGGCGCAGCTAGCGAAAAGTGCATCTCTAATCAGCCCAAGAATCAGTACCAAGGAAATTCTGGAATTCTTGAAAAAGCTTCTTCATCACTTCTGTCAGTGCACGATCATCCAACTTTGGTTGTTGATCAGGCTTGGGAAATTGTCTTATGTATACATTTGCAAGCAATAAGATCAAATGCTCTCTCTGATTTGCCACATTGTGCTTCTGAAACCCATACATTGCCCCAAGCCAATCCAGAATGTCTTCATCTTTTCTTTTCTTGTAGTCCTTTGGCCAGGCAAGACCCCTTGTGTTACGAAGAGCGAATACAGCAGCTTGGATCTCCGGAAATCTCATTATCGCCTGATTTGCACTATCAGGATCAAGAGGAAGAATATTGAAAGGAACTAAGATCTCTGTTTTTTCAGCAACTTTATCTTGAGTCTCCAAAATCTCACGGTCAACTTCCATAGATTGGGTCATATTAACAGCTTTCAAAACCTCAAAAAGAACATTAGCAGTCTGATATGCTTTGGTTAGTTGTGCTCGATCGGCCTTATCAGCAGCATTTTGTAAAGCTTGGATATATTTTTTGTAGTAATGCTGATAGAAACTCTGCATCTCACGGGCATCACTTTTCTTTATCCTTCCTTGCAATGTTGGATCATTTTCTCTTTCTAAACGTTGAAGAAGAGCAGTTTTAAATTGCCGAACACCACGACCACTTGAAGTGGGGTCCAACCTATGAGCTTTCTCAAACGCGTAAAACCGGCAGAGATAAGCGACTCTAGGATGAGTCTTCTCAACCTCATTAGCAACACGAAGAATAGGAGCAATTTCAACTAGAGAAGAAGGTACAACCTCACTATCAAAAATAGCTTCTCCAAGATTTCCAGCTGTTTGCGTCCGCGTTATCCGCCTCTGCATCATCGGACCTTGAGACTCCGACGGTCCCGCTCTCGACGACATTATCTTCTCTCACTGATCTAGCTTCCTTAACTACATTTTGCAACCGTTCTAATTCACTACCGTTTTTTTCATTTCGGTTTCCTTATCTCCGTCTTTCATGGCCTCTTTGGTCTTGCTAGCGAGTAGCGGAAACTCAATCTCCTCTTCTTGATCTTCTTTTTCCATCTCTTTCCGGCTAACACCATTAGAAGAACAAATAGAATGCTTCCGTTCTAAGCCCTCATCTTGATGCTCCCTAATCCTTGCTTCACCGCGTTCTGATTTTGATCCATTCACATTCTGCTGAAATGTATAAGCTGCAACTGAAGCAGCTACAAGGATTCCTAACCTAGCTATCATGAAGCTATAAGCCGAATCAAACCTCCATTGGTGATTATTCAAACCATTGCTGCTTTGAAAATGAAACCACAGTAACCTAAAATCCACAACAGCTATGAGAAAAAGCCAAATTTGGAAACTTCATCTACATACAGAATCTATAGGAAATTTCCAAACTTTCAACTTCACCACTAAAAACATGTTCATAGTTAAAGACAAAATTTTGATAACAAAGAGAAACATAACAAATGGGTCTGGAAGTATAGGCCCAAAGTGCCACAACAGAAACAGGGCAAAGTGATGAGCTTCTGTCTATTATTCGCCCAATGCTTGTTTACACTGGTTTGATTGAGCAATTGCAGCATTTCTTCAAGTTCAAGAAATCGGCTATTGCAACATCTGCAAGTACTGGTGCAGCGGTTTCCTCTGTGACAGAAGGTGAAGATGAAAGTGGGAATCTAGAAGGCTGGGAATTGGTTATGAAAGAGCGACTCTCAAACATAAAAGAGCTACTCAGTTTCCCCAAGGAAATGCTTTCCTGGCTTGATGACATTAATTCTGCTAGTGATTTGCAGGAGGCCTTTGATATTGTTGGGGTTCTGCCGGAGGTTTTGTCCGGTGGATTCACTCGGTGTGAAGACTTTGTGCAGGCTGCAATCAATGCAGGGAAAAGCTGACAATATTATGAACCTCGCTTTTCATGTATACAAATATCAACAACATATCTTATATTTTGAGAGAATGTAAAAACGCTTATGTACTATGTTCTTTTGAAAGCACAATGCTGATACAAAGTATCATGTTTTATTCGCCAAGCATAACATGAGTCTTGGATTTGAAATACATGTGTTCCGAACCCCTTAGATCCCACATCCTCTTGCTTTAATGACAAAGCTTGAAAAACCTCCCTATGATGTGAATTTAACGAAACTCGAAATCATCTTGCAACATGGCTTTGATATCATTGATCCACGAGACTAATTTTAATAAGTCACTCATGTCGCCCTAAAGGCTTTACTCACGGCCTTCCATTGTAGTTGAACTAGCTTTAACCTCTTTAACTACGCGGCCTTCGTATTATCTCGAAATATGACATAACAAGCACTTGAAACCAAGTACTCCCATCTTAATTTGTCGTGAAAATGAGGACGTATCTTTTCTTTGTCTCCACGAGAACTCAACATAGCTGACCAGGGATCAAGACCATTATGGGCATACAAAAGAACTTTCATGAATTCAACCTTTAGGATCATGGTCAAAGGTCGAAGGATTATCTTGAGAAAGATCAAGGAACAATACGACTGCTTGGTAAAAAAAAGGGTAGGACAAATTTGGGGTATGACAGATGCCCCTATCTAATTGGCTTAGACCGAGTAAGATGAATTGGTACAGAATTCACTTTTTAAAGGTAGAAGACAATTAGATATAAAGAAAACCCTGAATTTGCCCGAGAAGAAAAGGGAAGTTTGGGAATGAAATACTGGATACCTTACAAAGGTTGTTAACACCAAAAGGATGTTAACGGAGAAAACTTGACACCAAAAGGGTGACAAGCCTATCAATAAAAGGATGATAGTACATTTACACACACTGCCCCTACATCAAAAGGATGTAAGGGATCTATTACCAAAAGGATAATGGAGAGCACAACGCTAGTCATGACACCAAAAGGATGCCAGACCCATCACCAAAAGGATGATGGAGCGCACAACGCTAGTCATGACACCAAAAGGATGCCAGACCCATCACCAAAAGGATGATGGAGCGGCGCAAGATCAACCCTAACACCAAAAGGATGTAGGAGGATAAGCTTCTCAGAAGAGATTGCCACTTATCACTGATGAAGGATAAGCTTCTCTGAAGAGATTGCCACTTATCACGGATGAAGGATAAGCTTCTCTGAAGAGATTGCCACTTATCACTGCAGATGGATAAGCTTCTCTGAAGAGATTGCCACTTATCACTGATGAAGGATAAGCTTCTCTGAAGAGATTGCCACTTATCACTGAAGATGGATAAGCTTCTCTGAAGAGATTGCCACTTATCACTGATGAAGGATAAGCTTCTCTGAAGAGATTGCCACTTATCACTGAAGATGGATAAGCTTCTCTGAAGAGATTGCCACTTATCACGGATGAAGGATAAGCTTCTCTGAAGAGATTGCCACTTATCACTGCAGATGGATAAGCTTCTCTGAAGAGATTGCCACTTATCACTGAAGATGGATAAGCTTCTCTAAAGAGATTGCCACTTATCACTGATGAAGGATAAGCTTCTCTGAAGAGATTGCCACTTATCACTGAAGATGGATAAGCTTCTCTGAAGAGATTGCCACTTATCACTGATGAAGGATAAGCTTCTCTGAAGAGATTGCCACTTATCACTGAAGAGGGATAAGCTTCTCTGAAGAGATTGCCACTTATCACTGACGATGGATAAACTTCTCTGAAGAGATTGCCACTTATCACGGATGAAGGATAAGCTTCTCTGAAGAGATTGCCACTTATCACTGCAGATGGATAAGCTTCTCTGAAGAGATTTCCACTTATCACTGAAGATGGATAAGCTTCTCTGAAGAGATTGCCACTTATCACTGATGAAGGATAAGCTTCTCTGAAGAGATTGCCACTTATCACTGAAGATGGATAAGCTTCTCTGAAGAGATTGCCACTTATCACTGATGAAGGATAAGCTTCTCTGAAGAGATTGCCACTTATCACTGAAGATGGATAAGCTTCTCTGAAGAGATTGCCACTTATCACTGACGATGGATAAACTTCTCTCAAGAGATTGCCACTTATCGCTGAAGATGGATAAGCTTCTCTGAAGAGATTGCCACTTATCACTGAAGTCTGCTGGAGACAATTCACTGGGGATCACCCATGGATTTACTGGAGATGCCCCTGTCTGGGCTGAATGTTGATTTTGAAGACCTGATTAACCACGAGGTTGAAATACATCGTGCGATACACCCATGGTCTTACAAGAGATGCCCCTGACTGAGCTAAATCTTGCTTTGAAGCTCAAAATATTGCACAACTTCATGGGGAATGCCCATAGTCTTGTGGAGAATGCCCCTGATTGGGCTCAATCTTGCCTTGATATCTTCTGACTCTAGTAAGAGAAACCCACGGTCTTACAAGAGGTGCCCCTGTCTGGGCTGATGATCTTGGAAACCTTCGTGATCGATCCTAGAACTGAGCTCGCATATGCGAATGCTTGATGATAATGATATTCCATAACAAGTGGAAATGCAAATGCAAATGCTAACACGCGGAGATGCAAGAGCTGGGGGAGTATGACATGATCCTGGATATGCATATGGTACAAGATGCTTATGAAGTCGAATGCGATGCGTATGATGTATAGGATTGTGGATAGTAATGGGAGTGCAGGTGCCGACATGACGGACTTTGGTGGTGGGAAAGTGAAAGATAAGCCTGACTTCCCGACATCATCTATTTATGATGTATAAAGAACTTGGATGTGTTGAGATTTTCAGCTCATGGCCTGCTCTGCCGGGTTTGACGACCTTGTCAGTCAAGTCGTTACAAGATTTAGAATGATGTTCCTGCGTATTCTTTAGAGTCATGGTCACCCTTTAGTTACCCCAAGAGGGTAAGTTATCCCTTAATCTAATTTACCATAATGTCATTATATGCAAAACCCATCACCAAATAAATGAAACTTGCAACCAAAGGGTAAATAAAAACAGAAAAGCTTTGATGAAAGTAATTTTATTGATGAAAATCCATAAATGGGAAAATTACAAAGGAGGCAATTCCTAAAAGAGGTAACTGCTTTCGAAAGAAAATATAAAAACTAAGACAATGTTGAAAATGGTCCCTGCCAAGTTTCAAATCTGCTATGGCCCATATGTCTCTGAAGACCCCTCATGCCTTGCTTTCGAGCGCCAGAATCGAATTGACCTTTCTCAGTCGAGAGCTTGATGGTTATGAGGAATAATTCACACGTCTTTTCAAGATGCAGTTCTGCCTTTTTGAATCCCTAACTTTTGCCTAGGCCGCCTTTTCAGGTTTTCAGCCTATCAGGATACTCTTTTTTTTTTACTTCTAGTCCCTAATTTTGCCTGAACCATTTTTATGGTCCACCAGGACGCCCATTTTTGCGTGGATTTTCTTTTTGGGTCCACCGGGTCTATCTTTTAGGCATAATATTTTTTAACTGCATCCGCGTTCACAGGGGATGAGAGATTGTCACCATCCATGGTTGACAGGATCAATGCCCCTCCGGAGAAAACTTTCTTTACTACATACGGACCCTCATAGTTTGGTGCCCATTTTCCCCTTGGATCGACGTGAGTTGGCTGAATTTTCTTTAGTACCAAATCTCCTGCTTGGATGTGTCGTGGGCGAACTTTCTTATCAAAGGCCCTCTTCAATCGTTTTTGGTATAGTTGTCCATGACAGATGGCCGTCATGCGTTTCTCGTCGATGAGATTGAGTTGGTCGAGTCTGGCTTGTATCCATTCGGCCTCATCTAGCTTGACGTCTGCTAAAATCCTTAAGGAGGGAATCTCTACTTCAATGGGCAATACTGCTTCCATGCCATATACGAGAGAAAACGGGGTTGCCCCTGTGGAAGTGCGCACTGAGGTGCGGTAGCCATGCAACGCGAACGGCAACATCTCGTGCCAGTCTTTGTAAGTCTTCACCATCTTCTGGACGATTTTCTTAATGTTCTTATTTGCCGCCTCAACAGCCCCGTTCATTTTAGGGCGATAAGGCGTTGAATTGTGGTGTTCAATCTTGAAGTTTTCACACAACTCTTCCATCATCTTATTGTTGAGGTTTGAACCATTGTCTGTAATGATCTTGTTCGGGATTCCATATCGACAAATAATCTCTTTTTTGATGAAGCGAGTCACCACTTGCTTAGTGACGTTGGCATAGGACGCCGCTTCTACCCATTTGGTAAAGTAATCGATGGCCACTAAGATAAAACGGTGCCCATTTGAAGCGGTTGGCTCGATGCGTCCGATTACATCTATACCCCACATAGCGAAGGGCCAGGGCGAAGTCAAAACATTCAGAGGGAGTGGTGAAGTATGGACCTTGTCTGCGTAAATTTGGCACTTGTGGCATGACTGGACATGGAGACAACAATCCGTTTCCATCGTCATCCAATAGTATCCTGCCCTCAAAATCTTTTTAACCATAGTATGACCACTAGCATGTGTCCCAAAAGATCCTTCATGCATTTCATTTATGATACGCTTTGCCTCGTGTTTATCCACGCATCTGAGTAGAACCGAATCGTAATTCCGCTTGTATAGCACGTCACCACTGAGGAAGAACTTTGAGGAGAGCTTTCTGAGATACTTTTTGTCAGTGATAGTTATGCCTTCTGGATATTCTTGTGTCTCTAGATATCGCTTGATATCATAGAACCAAGGATGATTATCAGTTTTAGCTTCTTCCCCCTCGGCCGCTAGGCAATAAGCGGGTTCGTCCAAATATTCTAAACGGATGGATGGCGCCTCATTCTCCCACTTGACTTGAAACATAGATGCTAGTGTTGCTAGAGCGTCAGCCAACTGATTTTCTCCTCTGGGAATGTGATGGAAGGTGATCTCATCAAAGTACGGGATTAACTTCAAGACATGATCTCTGTAAGGAATTAACTTGAGGTCCAGTGTTTCATACTCCCCTTTAAT